TCGGGCACTTCATCCAGCACTGCCTCCTCTTGCGGCCAGCCATGTCCATCTTCCGCCACCTCTACAGGTACGTGGATGAGTGCCGACTCGGGCCGCCTTCCCCTCTACCGAGTCCCGCTCGGCAGGAGGTCCGCGTCTTCCGAGGGCTCATCTTCCAGGCGGTCGTCGACCTCGCCGCGCCCGTGTCGGACATCGTGCTCTGCTCCGACTCCTCCGAGGCGGGCTACGCCCTGCACCGCCGGCGCTGCGACCCCGAGGCGGTGCGCCGGCTCGCGCGGCTTCGGGAGCGCTGGCGCTTCACGCCTGACGAGAAGCGGCCCGAGGCCCTGGAGGACGACACCTACACGCCTGGCTGGCTTCCTGGCGCTGGAGGGGTGCTCGGAGAAGGGGACCCCAGCTGCGGCATCGCGACCTGGGCCCCGCCGCCGAGGAGGGCCGACGAGCGCCCCCACGGTACCGTGCGGGCTCGGGTTGCCCAGGCACCGCGGCGGGCGACCTTCGAGGACATCCCCGACGAGCTCGTCGCCCCAGACGCCTGGTCGCTGGTCGTGGAGGGTGCTTGGAGGACGCGGGCGCCCATCCATATCCTGGAGGCCCGGATCGCCCTCGCGGGGCTTCGGCACGCCTCCAGGAGCCTCGAGTGCCACGGGCGCCGCGTCCTCAGCCTCGGGGACAACATGGCCGAGGTGCTCTCGACCGAGAAGGGCCGCGCCGTCGACGTCGGCCTCGGCTCCGTGTGCAGGCGCAGTGCCGCCATCCAGGTGGCCACCGGCATCCGCTGGCGGCGCCGCTACATCGACACAGAGAGGAACGTCAGCGACGGTGGCTCGCGCAAGGCCCTGCAGGGCCTGTACCGCCCTGGACAGCGTCGCGTGGGACCTGGCGCCGGCGCCGCTGGGGGTGCCGGACGGCCCGGTGCGGCTCCGCCCCCGCCGCCGCCCCTGGGGCTGGCTGCCGGCGCTGCGGGCTCCGCTCGGGCCGCCGCCGCCCTGGCGCCGCCCGCCGTCGCAGGGGACACAGCGTGCCGACGAGGGGGGGAGGATTCAGACCTCTGCCGTCACACCCCTCGGCCGCTCCCCTGCGACGGCCCGCCGAGGCACCCCAGGCGCGTGCCGGCCCCCCCGCGTGACGTGCTCCTTCGGCGAGGCCGGCAGGGGCCGCGCAAGCCCGCCTGGCTCGCGCCCCCGCCGGGCCTCCCGGCGCCCTCGGTGGTTTGGCCGAGGCGGCCGCGTGGCGGCCACGCTGATGCAGGCACGGGCTCCGCCCGCCGCCGGCCGCCGCCCTGTCGTGGATCGGCCGGCCGCTTGGGCCGGTGCGGGCCCAGGATGCAGCCAATTCGAGTGGATGAAACGTCAGATCACGGTCCGTCCCCTCGGCCTCCTGCTACGTCTGCATCCACTACGCCGACCGCTGCGCGGGCTCCGCGACCCCGGGCTGCCTTGGAGGTCTTCTCGGGCTGCGGGCGCTGGACTGGTGCCCTGGCCCAGGCGGGCCTCGTCGTCGCGGCCCCCATGGACATCAAGCACGGGCCCTGGTGCGACCTCCTCAACCCGAAGGTCGAGTCTCAGGTGCGTTCCTGGATCACCTCCCGGGCCGTCTGGTTCGTCCACTTCGGCACCCCGTGCACCCCGTGGTCCATCTCTCGGCGAGGGGCTCGCGAAGTCTCCGCCATCAGGGCAGCCCGACGGTGTGCTCACGTCACGGTGCGTCTCTTGGAGGTCTGCAGCCGCTACGGGATTCACTGGTCTCTGGAGAACCCTCAGTCCTCGGGCCTCTTCCGTTGGGCCCCACTCCGGAAGTTCCTGGACCAGCACTCACGCTCCTGGGCTACCTATCACTGCTGCCGGTTCGGCGCGCCTTACAAGAAGCCCACCACTATCGTCTCAAGTCTGGGGGCCCTGCACGACATCGGCCTGCTCTGCGAGGGGGGCCACAGGCACGAGCACTTGTCTGGGAAGGTACGTGTCCGTGCGTCCACGGGAGGGCTCAAGTATCAGTGGAAGACCACGTTGGCCGGCGCGTACCCCCCGGGCGCCTGCCACCTCGCTGCCAGCATCTTGGCAGCGGCGGCGCCGCGCGGCGCCAAGAGGCCAGATGGTGCTCCACTACTCGAGGAACGATGGCAGGCTGACCTCTGCCGGGCGGCGGGCTGCGACTTCGGTCCTCAGGCCCTCCCGTGCCCGACCTGTCCCTCGCGCTGGGCCCCGCTCTGGAGGTCGGACGCCGAGCAGTGGGGCGGCGTCTGGGGGCCCCCGAGGCCCCCCGCTGGAGGAGGCTCCGGCCGAGGGCCGCGGCCCAGTGCGCCGACGCCCCGCCGCTGTTGTGGCCGCGCGGCGGCCTCGCGTCCGACGGGAGCCCGCTGACTACAACCCTGGCTTCCTCCGGCGCTCGAGGGTGACCGCCACGACCGCCGTGCGGTACCACGCCAGCCTGCACGAGTTCGCCGCGCAGATGGGCCTGGACCCGGCGCGCTGGACCGCCCGCGACCTCCCTGCCGTCGACGCTGCCCTCGACCGCTTCCTCGAGGAGCTCTTCGTGGCCGAGCGGTCGCGGGGCGATGCTCGGTATGCGCTGGCGGCTGTCGCCGACCACTTCAACGTCAGCCTCCGCCAGCCTGGGGTCCTCCCGCTCGCACGCGCTGCCATGGCTGGCTGGGGCAAGCTGGAGCCTGACTCGACTTCGGATCCCCTCCCGTGGTCGGCCGCGGTGCTGATGGCGTACCACCTGTCGCGGACTGGCGTCGAGTCTGACCTCGAGGCCGCCCGCGGCCTCGTTGTGCAGTTCGACACCTACCTGCGGCCCTCGGAGCTGGTGCTCATGCCCCTGGTCGCGTGCTTCACGCCGGGCATGCACGCTGGGGCTCACTACAACAAGTACGGGATGGTTGTCGCGCCGTCCTGCCAGGTGGCCGGCCAGCTCGTCGGCATCCGCACCAGCAAGACCGGCGTGCAGGACGACACCGTCCTCCTTGATGAGGCCAGCCGACCTGGCGTTGTCGGTGCCTTCGCAGCGCTCATCCGCCAGGCCCGCCGTGCTCGCTCGCAGACGCTGCTCCCTAGCCACACGTATGCCTCGTACAATAAAGTGCTGCAGCGGGCCGCCCAGGCCGTAGGCATTCCTTTCAAAGTCACGCCTCACCTTGCCAGGCACGGGGGGCCCAGCGAGGACTTCCTTCGCCGTGCCAGGACGCTGCCCGAGATCCAGGCGCGCGGGCGCTGGGCCTCTTTTCGCAGCGTGCAGAGATATGAGAAGGCCGGCCGCCTCCTCGCGGCCATCCGCAAGCTTCCGCCTGCTGTCCGGGCCGCAGCCTGCAAGGCCGAGGCTCGCGGACTCTCTTTTCTGGCATGAGTAGTGTCTTTGCGGCCATGGGCCAGTGGAGTGTTATGGGAATTTCTCCCCAGCTGCTCTCCATTTTGTGATATGGGACTTGGTTGGCCGACGCCTTTTCGGCCCCGGCGTTGCTGGACCTCAGACGCCGGCGGGCCCTCGGAGTGGCTAGCCTCTCTCTCACACAAGTCGCCTGCGACGTGGTCGCCTGGAGAGTGGAAAATACATCGTCCAGGTGCGACGGGCCGTGGCCCGACCGTTCCCCTCTCGCCCTGTCGATCTCTCCGTGGCGGCCCCCCCTGGTGGGGGCATTATACTAGTCAACATTGTACGTGCTCGCGCGCTATGTGTTGTCCAGCGGGCCTCCCCACCGTGTGCCGTACCAGGATACGGCTGAACAGAACTCTCTACAGCCCCTCTTTGCTCCCCGCCCGCGAGCCACCCTTTGCATATAGGTACTGTTAATGTTCTGTTAATGAGCTGCTGGACTTGGTTGGCCGACGCCTTTTCGGCCCCGGCGTTCCTGGACCTCAGACGCCGGCGGCCCCTCGGAGTGGCTAGCCTCTCTCTCACACAAGTCGCCAGCGACGTGGTCGCCTGGAGAGTGGAAAATACATCGTCCAGGTGCGACGGGCCGTGGCCCGACCGTTCCCCTCTCGCCCTGTCGATCTCTCCGTGGCGGCCCCCCTGGTGGGGGCATTATACTAGTCAACATGTATGTATGTATGTAGGTATGTATGTATGTATGTAGGTATGTGTGTATGTATGTATGTATGTATGTATGTATGTATGTATGTATGTATGTATGTATGTATGTATGTATGTATGTATATATGTATGTATGTATGTATGTATGTATGTATACACGTATGTATGTATGCATGCATGTATGTATGTATGTATGTATGTATGTAAATATGCATGCATGCATGCATGTATGTATGCATGTATGTATGTATGTATGTGTGTATGTATGTATGTATGTATGTATGTACATATGTATGCACATATGTATGTATGTATGTATGTATGTATGTATGTATGTATGTATGTATGTATGTATGTATGTATGTATGTATGTATGTTTGTATATGTAGATATGTATGTATGTATGTATATGTTTGTGGATCTAGGTACAAGCATACATCTTTGTGTATTCACACACGCACACACACACTCTATGTGATGGTGAATGCATCCGTGTGCAAATCAATGCAAGGAGCTGCAACGCAGTGCGGTGCCAATTGCAGAGCGTACCACAGCATGGCGTACCACAGCATGGCAATGCATGGCACAGCGTCGCCCAGCATATCGAGGCACGGAAGCGTTGTGTAGCAGCGAGTGGCGCATCACATATCCATAGCTTAGTGTACAGCGTGTCACGGCGTAGCACAGCACGGCACAGTGCATCATTGCGAAGCACGGCACATCATTGAACAGCACAGAACGGTATAGTACAGTGTATGGCATTGTGTAGCGAAGCAGTTCGCAGTATAGCACAGCACAGCACATAACATCGTAGCATAGCGTTGCATAGCGCAGCCCAGCGTAGCGTATCACAACGTAGCAAACTAGATCATTTTGGAACGCCCCGAAAGTCCAGAACATCGCAAGAACACAGCTTCGACCCCCTGCTGATTGTCCCCTCTTTGCCTGTGCGGCGCGGTGCGCAGGAGCCCCTCGCCCTCATCGCCAGCGAGGACGCCGTGCGAGAAGGACCGCGGCCGGAAGGGCTCCCTGCGGTGGCGTCCTGGCCGCGGGAGTCGGCGCCGTTGTCGCCCCCCCCCGAATGGCCTCCTCGGCCTCCTCGTCCTCTTTTTTCTTCGCCTCCTCTTCTCCTGCCGCTCCTGGTGCTCCTGCTCCTCCTCCTGCTCCTCGTGCTGTTCGTCCTCGTTCCTCCTCCCGTCGCCTTCTCGGCCTCCTCCCGTCTCCTTCTCAGCCTCCTCATCCTGCTCCTCGTGCTGTTCGTCCTCTTCTCCTGCTTGTCGCCCTCCTTCTCGTCACCCTGCTCCTCTGCCCTGCCGTAGCCACTTGTGGCCAAGCCGTTGCCCAGGGGTGCCCAGCGCGAGGGTGCGCTGGGAGGGGACCCGAGCGGGCAGGAGCTCAGCATCTGAAGCCAGGGGCCCAGCTCTCCTCTTCTCGGGGGCAGAGGCGAAGACGTAGAGATTGTTCATTTCTAACTCTTCGGAGGTTCTTTGATTTTTTCCGGGGCCAAGATCCTCTCATTTCTAATTGTTCTATCCTGGGCCTCTTCCTGGCCACTAGGGGGCCAGGAACAATTAGAAACGAGCATCATTAGAAATGAGCACGATTAGAAATGAACGACGTGTAGACGTGATGGAACGGCACGCGCAATCCATAGCTCAGCCTGCAAGCTATGAGTCAGCGTGCTGGGTTGGCTACGACGGAGCCGCATGAGAAGATCCAGGCCGTGCGCGGAGATGTTTTTCCAGGAGCAGGCCGAGGTGGCAGAATTCGAGCGGAGACCGAAGGCTAGTACAGCATCCTGTGTGGCGTCATCAGTTGGCCGCTGCGCGTTTCGTTTGGATTTGCAGCTCCTTCCTCACACCACCCTTCGCTGCGTTGACAGTGTGATGCACGGTTTGCACGCTGTGCCTTCGACGATGTTCGATCGCGATTCACACTTCCATCTGCTGCTCGCGCCTGAGGAGCATCTGCCCGGCCAACTTCAAAACGGCATCATCAGTAGATGGCAGGTCGACTCGATCGACGCGACTCTCCAGAAGAGCAGCGTTTCGAGGGACGAGGACGACGCCGCAGATCTGCGCGCCAAGTATGGTGACGCACTGCGGCGCCCCGTCCTCCACGAGGTGCAGGAGCGGCACTTCGCGGAGCAGCGGAGAGAAGTTCGTGGATAAGCTCAACGACAACGGCATCTAAGGTCGTGTGCCACGTGGTCATCCCGGTCCACAATGTCATGCTCATCGGCTGCACGTAAGAGTGACCCTTGGCCAGAGTGACCTTTAGTGTTGGCCCAACTGGGGTCGGACAGATTTTCTTGGGGTTGGCCATGCCTGGTTGCGTGAGCCTCACGCAACCAGGCATGGCGACCTGTTCCCAGATCGATGCCAACGGCCTCGACTTGAAGTGGTCAGCCGCGGGACGTGTCAACGGACAGCGTGGCACGCTGGGGCGTATTGTATTAGGACCATGGTTAAATTACACCAGAGCAGGGGGTGCATCACGCTGGAGGCCCGGGATTGTCAAGCATTCTCCGGGTCTTGTGCGCTCGTGCCCGACTTTGCTGCGTTTGGCCCTGTGGCAACATCGGAATCATCAGGCCTCATTGACCCCGCCCTCTTGTGAGCGGACCTGGGGGTCAGTCGGCGTATTCGGGGTGCGTAGCTGCTTCTTGGGACCAGGCTATGAGCGGGGCTGATCGCAATTACACTGAGGCTGGCGATGGCGACGACTCTTCAACCAGGCCACGAAGCGCGCCACCCTAAATACCTTAGAAACTGATGCTCACGTCTTCCTGACTATCTTGAGCTAGCTCACCCGCACAATGACACTCTGCACGCCTCACCTCGACAACCGCATCTGTGCGCGGTTGGACTGTGCACACGCTGACACAGGTGCCTACCTACACGATCTTGGGCTCTGTGGCAGGCAGTGGAAGATGTGTGCTCCGAAGATTTCGCTGAGGAGTCGTTTTCAGCCTTGCCCCTCCCACCCAAGCCGCTTCGCATTAGTGACCTTCTATTCTTCGTTGGGCAGGTGGAGGGGCCCATTCGTATGGGCAGTGCTGCGTCGTCTCAAAGGGTGTCTCGCTTTTGCCCTCAAGCACAACCAGTGCTCGGAGCAGGGCATGGGCGAGGCTGTCAAGCCACGCTGCGAGCACGTCCACAGCTTGCCGTCTTCTGCGTCAGCGATCTTATGCAGTGCTGAGCTGGAAGGCTATCACGAGTTTTCTGCTGGCACCGCGACCATGGGTGTAGCAACCCCCGAGAAGCAACCTCGGGTACGGATCATTATCTGATCCTGCAGTTCCACATTCATGGACAGGGAACGCACCCACCACAACCAAGCTCCAGAAGGAAAATTTGGGCCCAGGGCTTGGTCCAGGCTGGAGGGCCACATCCGCCGCCAGGATGTGGTCCGATAGTGAATTGGCGGTCGCCTTGTGGCGACGGATGCAGTCGAAGAAGTCCGCAGCAGGGCACGGAGAGCAGGGATGCAGGAACCTCGAACGTCGACCCCCGGCAGCGGCGTCGGGCTAGCAGCGCTGGGATCTGCGGCCACTGATGGGCCGAATGAGGCAGGGATGCCCGGGCAGCCCTGCTAAAGTATATTGCGTCCCTACCACCTCGTCAAAAATGAACAGAAGACTTCTGAATTCGGTGACAATGGGGTCAGCGCTACTCCAACGCTGACGGATGCCTGTTGACTCGGACGCGGTGTTGTCCAAAAACCGACCCCACCCTCTCAGCATTGAAGAACGCGCTTTCTGACAAGTGCCCGAAAGCATCGTGTTCCAGGATTTCAACTTTCGTTTCTGGATATTCTTGACGAGGCTTGTAGTGCAGACTCTGACTGCGCGCTCCCTTTTCGCGGCCCCTCTCCTTGCCTGTCCCCCCTGCGCTCAGTCAGCGCTCCCGCAGCCCGGCCCCCGCCCCGACCGCGCCGAGCGACCGCCGGCGCCGCTCCCAGAAGAGTGCCCCGCCCCCTTGCTGCCCGCAGGGCTGATGGGGTCCTCTCTCAAATCCGAGGCCCGGAAACCATCGCGTCACTAATTTTGGGTCCCAGGGCCCACTGAGGCCCCATGGGCCCCAGAGTAGTGAAGTGATGTTCCCACGTGATGGCCCCGAAATTCATCACTTCACTAAACCGAGCCCAGGACGGAAGTCGGGGGCCGAATTGCTGCTGTGATGCAACATAGGTCTCGTATCGAAGTGAGCATGTGGAGGCCTCGTGATGGCTGATGCAGTCGAAGCTCGCAGGAGGGGATGGGGACGCACGGTGCAGCGCAGGGGTGCAGGACCCGTGGAAGCCGACCAACGGCGGGGGCATCGGGCCGGCAGCGCCGGGATCTGCAGCTCATGGTCGGCCCCCCTTGCTGTTCGCGGGGCGGAGGGCACCGGGCCGGGCCGCCCTCTCGGGGCGTCGCCAGGGCCGCCCCGGCGCCTTCTGCTGCGCGGCGGGCCGAAGCAGGGCTGGACCTGAGCGGTGTCTTTGCGATCTCGTGGGCCGTTTTCGTGTCGACTTCGTCCTGCGGTAAAAAGGCGGATGGAAGGCAAAGCGAAGGAAGGCGAAGACAAAACGAAAACGAACAGCACCGTTTAGGTTCAGCCCTGGGCCGAAGCCGCCACCCCCCAGCTAGCGCTTGCACTCTCGACGAGGTCGCCTCGAGGCGCCGAGCGACCGCCATCGCCACGACCCGAAGGAGTGCCCTCCAGAACCCTCGCTGCTCGCGGGGCTGACGGGCCTGGTCCTGGCCTCTCTCTATCGGGGCTTCCTCGGGGCCGCCCTGGCGCCCTCTGCTGCGCAGCGGACTGGCCCGTGACTGCCCCGGCCGGCGTGGGTTCCCTCGGCGAGGCCGCCTCGAGAAGGCGCTCCTGCGCCCGCAGCTCCGCGTCGCCGAGAGGGCCGGCCGCTTCTGCCGAGGGGTATTTTTTTTTTGAGGGGGGAAGTCGGAAGCGGCGGAGACTGGATGGACTTGTGCATGCAAGACCAGGCCCTGATTTGGAGTTCGATGCATTGTGTATTCGGGTCATGGGCTTCGGTTGGAGGCAGACTTTGGATCAGTGTGCGGATTACGATACATGGAAAGGTGGGTGCAAGGCTTTTGTGGACAACTGCTGTCGTTTGCTTGGTCTTCCAACGCCATACCCTGACAGAGAGGACGCCGCCAAGATCTTGGACGAGGGCCTTTCTCCCAACAGAGGGGACCCAGAACGGCTCTTGGACCTCCCTAGGACTTTGCGCCGAGATTCGCTCTGGCTCCAGGGCGTGCCGCAGCTCGAGTTCGTCGCTGACAATTCTGCGGTCGCGGGTCTGGCGAACATCGAACTATACGTTAACAATCCTCTCTACGAACCACCTGTCTACAGTATTCGAGTTGGTCTGAAAAGATTGTTTGGAGAACTGTTCCGGCCGAAAGGGGGTTTTCGAATCCATTGTAATGGCGTCCCGCGTGAGTTCAACTCTCCGCCAGATACAGTATGCAACTGGGTGCTGGCTGCCAGCGCGGACGTGACGGACCTCGACCTTGACCACGGCGCGGACGCAGTGGCTGCCAACAGGTCCCTTCAACTACATTATGACGGAGGGTACGGCCATGACGTGGGAACAGCAGCGTTTGTCGTTCACGCTCACGATCTGGTCTGGGCTCATGAACAGGATCGGCTATGCGGGTGTATTCATGAAGCAGGCTGGGTCTGCCTTCCATGCAGAGCTCACTGCTTTGGATTTGGCGCAATCGTGGGTACAACGTCTTGCCCAACGTGTTCTGGGCACATCTTAGCGGAGGCAGGAGGATGACATGAGTGTTTTACCAGGCGACTCGACGAGGGAAGCGTCATAGCAAAACAACAAAACAAGAAGTCAGGGGCCACGTTTCGGGGCGGGGTAGGCTCGGGGGGCTGCATCGACCCCGACCCCCAGTCGCCCATGGATCGCCGATGCGGGCCCGACAGCCCGCTCCGCCCAGCAGCGTGCGGTCCCGCAGCCGGGAGCCTGTCGCCGACGTGTCGCCGCTGCATCGCCGCCTCCAGCTCCACGTCAGAGCTGCCTGGGGCTCCGGGGTCCTTGTGGGGGCGCCCGTGGGCCTCGCCGGGCCATGCTGGGCCTCGCCCCCCGTCCCTCTCCCCCGCCCCTCGCTGCGCTCTGCCCCCCGCCCCCCTCCCCGCCCGCTCCCTCCTCGCAGCCAGCCTGCCCCGCCCACCAAGCACCGCCCCACCCACCAAGCACCGCCCCGCCCAGCAAACCAGGGGGCCACATGCGAACCCTACCCCTACCCCCCACGATTTCTGAGGGGGCCGACGTGAGCCCCCACCCTCCTCCTCCGAAATCGTGGGGGGCAGGGGTGGGGTTCGCATGTGGCCCTCTACAAACACCGCCCCGCCCACCAACCACCGCCCCGCCCCAACCCGAAGGCTCCAAATTGCCCTCCATTTCCAGTGGGGGGGGGGGTCGGGGAGTGTTGAGAAAACACATATGAAACCCTTACCCCCCCCAACCCGAAATTCGGGTCTTCGGGTTGGGTTGGGGTGGTCGGGTAGGTAGTCACAAACACCGCCCCGCCCACCAGCCACCGCCCCGCCCACCGACAACCGCTGCCCCCCGCCCACCAGAAGATCCTCTCCCGCGGGAGGGCGCCGACGGCGCACCTGCACCGACCCTGGGCCCCTCCTGGGCCCAGCATCGGTGTGCGGCAGGTTCGCGTCGCGTCGACGCGGCGGCGACTCCGGCGCGGACGTCCGATTGCAAAAAAAACACAAAGGATTGCAAACAAAAACGAAGGATTGCAAACAAAAAAAACAAACAAAAATAAAAAAAAGGATTGCAACAAAAAAAACTCCTTCGGTGGAGAGCCGCCAGTGGCTCAGAACCGACCAGCTTGGGACGGCCTGTGCTGACTATCGGAGAGCTCCGATCGTTCAGCGCTGAACGATCCACGCGGTATCGCAGTCCAATGCCCAAGTCGTCACGGCACGGACCTGCCGCAGTTGCCCTCCTGGTCAAGACAGAAAGGCACTCGCACCGAGTTCGTGCCCAGGATCGGCCCGGGCAGGCTCCGTGCGGGCGTATCGTCGGCGCCCTCCGATACCAAGCAGCCGGGGCGGGCAACGGAGCACGCGCGCCCCCCCTCCTGATCCCGCCTCGTTCCACTGCCCCCTCCTCCTGCTCCGCCTCTCCCCCTCGTGCTCCGCTCTCATCGTCATCGTCCTCTTCATCGTCGTCGTCGTCGTCGTCGTCGTCGCCGTTGTCTTCGTCTTCTTCTTCTTCTTCACTGTTGTCGTCGTCGGCGGCGGCGTCGTCGTTGTCGTCGTCGTCATCTTTGCCGTTGTCGTCCCCGCATCCGAGGAGCCTTGGGCAGGACCACTAGCCAGTTGATGCGCTCGCTGCAGCGCATCTACGTCACGTCCAGCTACTTCAAAGACCGCGCCTGGCCCTCTCCGCTCCTCGGGCACTTCCGCCACCGCCTCTTCCCCCCTCGCCCTTTGCCTTTACCTCGTGGTCGCCGTCCGCCTTCTCTGCGCTTGCCCCGTCGTTCATATCAGAGCCATGTTGTCTTCTAGCTCATCCCATTTGTGGGCTTCATCCCCAGTCCTCCTCTTGCACTGCCGGTGTACGCATGTTTCCTGTTGCCGTCGGCTCAGCTCTGCCGTTTATGGTATTCATCTCGCATCTTCACTTTCGCAGCCCCATTTCGCGTGCTGCATGTTTGTTTAGATTCTAGACCCGAAGGCAGGCGTATGGTCCTTAACTGACGCTCTGTTCGTGACGGTCAGCATGCTGACGCGTGCCGTGGCCTCTGCCCCTGCCTTGTCACGAACACAGTCACTATGCGAATCGCGCAGCAAGCACATCTTCATCCCATTGCATAGCCGCGGCGGACGTTGCGCACGCGGGTGACCCATCGGCCGCGCCCGCAGTGGAGGCGGCCACGCGCGCGAAGCGCCTGAGGCAGGGGAGCCCGCTGGCGGCGCTGTGGGAGCGGCCCCTCCCGCGTCCCGTGCCAGTGATGCTCGAGGCGGAGCCGCGGGGCTGGGAGGGCATATCTCGAGGGCCGACTGAGCGACTTGGGTGGCCTCGGCGTCCCACGTGGAGTGGCGCATCGGGGGGCCGAGGGCGGCGACCCCCTCTCAGGTGCAGTTGCGCGCGGTGCTCGTGCAGCATCTCCGCTCTCTGAGAGCCTGTGCGCTGCACTTCTGGGCGCCACGGAGAGCGCATGAGAGCCACTCGCCGCCGGGGCCAGTTGAAGCTGTGCGCAGGCTGGCAGGCCCACACCCAGCAGCGGCAGTGAGCAGAGCGGAGCCTCGGCAGAGGCCGGGGCGCACGTTCCGCGAGGGCAGCGGCGCCGAGCGGCACCTCTCGCTTCGCCGCGAAGGTGGTGTTGCACGCGCCCGTTTGGTCTGCTCCTGGCCACCTGGGGTGCGAGTGCGAGGCGCCCGCGCCAGTCGGGCCTCCAGCGTGCCGCAGCCGGTCGA